AGGGGGAGAGGGGGAGGGGAAGGGGAGGAGGGGGGAGAGAAGAGGAATGGAAGAGGAGGAGGGAAGGGAAAAGGAAGGGAAGTGGGAGGAGGGGGAGAGAAGAGGGGGAGGGACTCTGGTTGCAGATGAGGAAACACAAGCTCAGGGTGGTACAGTGATCTGCCCCCAGTCACCCAGAAATTCCAATTCTGACTCCTGATTTCTGCTCCATGGCCCAAGCAATCTGCTCCTTGTACATCATCCCAAGTAAGTTCATGTGGAGAGGAGGCTGGCGTCAGAGGCCAAGAGACACCCTTACTGACAACTGTCTAGTTTGTACACAGACGTAAAAACCCCTTTAGCTGGGGGCAAGGTAGCTTATTCTAACATTCTCAAACACAGGGCTGAAACTCTCCCCAAACTGAGACTGGTTCCAAGTTATACTGTTTTCCAAAGATCAGGTCTGGGTCAGGGCATGGGTGAGGCCACCACCCATTCCTCACCTTGTCAGCTGGGGCCTCACAAGAGCATCATCACAGCCACCGGGCTCGCAGTTCTAGTACAAACACACACCCAGCCCCATTTGCCATGCATTAGTCTTGGAGCTGTAACACAGTGTCCCTCCAAGGCCACATGTGAAGAAAGGCCTCCTAGGAGCCTACTAGTGAGTGTGCATTTAATGTCAGCCAGTAGGGCCTCCCGGAGCCTCGGGCCCTCAGATCAGGACACAGCAAAGGGAGCATTCAGGAGTGCAAGGGTGTGATGGGATGGGCATGCAGACAAAGCACGCAGAGTCCAACCATACCGTGCTGTTTGTAGATAGGGGGCTTCCTATAGATGTTATCTTTTACGCCAGTGTCTGAGAAAGAAGGAAACAGAGGGAGAAGATGAGGGCCAGCAGGGAAGCAGTGCTCTGTCAGCTCACGGCTCCCCCAGGATGCAATCACCAGACAGACTTGGACTCTCCAAGTGGCAGAGGCTCAAGTCCCACACCTCCATCACGAATCCCCAGATGCCACCTCAGGTCAGAAAGGGACATGGAAAAAGGAGCCGGGGAAGGCGGCAAGCAAGACCCTCAGGCCACCGGCTCGGACGGGCCCTTTTCTCCACTGTGTCCCCAGGACAAGAACATCTCCCTGGTATCTGTGAAGCTTTAAGAAAATCTCAAACACACAGTTTGAGGAGGCGTGCCAACGCTCACATGAGTGTTTTTTGTTGTTTAGAGACCTGATCTTGTTTTCTATCCCAGTCTGGCCTTAGACTAGTTATATATGGCTCAGGCTAGCCTTGAACTTGTGATCCCCCTGCGTGCTAGGATGACAGGTGTGCACCACTACACCCAACTCCACGGAATGACTTTTAAGGAAGCTCAGGGTTCAGGGAGCAACAGAGACCTGGGAATCACACAAGTCCGGCGGGTTGCTCTGACAACTCCAGGTGATGGTGGGTAAGAAGCTGACAAACGTGTGGGGTGGGGGTGGGGGGATGCCTACCTGGGATGTGGAAGTGGCGTGGCGCCTGCTGATAGGTGGAGGAAGGAGGCCTGCTGTCCGAGAGCACCGAGAGGCTTGGGGTGCTGCGGCCGCTTTCGCTGCCTCCAGGAGGAAGAGCGGAGTCAGCAGGCGAGGGGCAGAAAAGCAAAGCAGAGAATTTCAAGCACAGAAGTTGCTCTGCAGCGAGCTGCATCTCTCCTGCCTGAAAGAAGCCCGACCTGAGACTTCTAGCCTGGGACCAATGACTTTCTAATCCGACCTTGAGTGGACCTAGTTCACAAGCCCCCAGAAGGGGCTGTGATTTGGAGGGCTAAAAGCACCTTAGTGCATGGGTGGCTGTCCTTGTAGAACTCATGATCCTGGGGCATGAACTCCACACACTGTGGGGCTCAGGGGCTCATAGTTCCTACCTCTCTTAGCACAGGAAGGCACTGCTTGCTTTGGGGTTCCACCAACCAGCTGTGCAAATAGGACTAAGGTGTAAGAATGGGTTGAAAGTGTCCCTCACAACCACCAAGAAGGCTTTTGTCCCTATAGGGAACAGGGGACCTTCACAGTCCTAAATACTGTGGTTTCTGGAATGCAAAATGGGAGGGTGCTCAGCTGGCTCCAACTTCGTCCCTCAGCTGGAACTGTGTTTTGTGTTCTGTAAAGGAGGCTGGATTATCAAATCACTGATCAAAGACACCTGGGTTGACCTAGGCGGTTGCGGTTGCCCCACCTACCAAATACGAAAGATATGATGGACAGAACACGGCGGCACTGGACACATGATGAGGAAGAACACAGCTCACAAAGGGACACCCCAAGGCACAGCTCGTCCCTTCCACTAGCTCTGGGGAACTCTGCAGGGCAGTAGCTGACAGCTTGGCAAAGGAGAGGGTGCTCTGGACTTGAACAGCCCCCCTCACCTGATCAGAGCCCCTAAAGCCACCTACCAATGAGATGGAAACCAGCCTGGGATTAACTGGGGGTGGCAGTGGGCACTACAGACATCCCCGATGGGATGAGCTAGCCCAGCAGGAAGGGCTCACCTGGAAGAGGCTCCAGCCACAGCCACCAAGGGCTGATGCCTCTTTGAACATCTTCTCCCACCTGAGCATGGGCACTAATTTTACCCATGGATGGCACTTTAGGGAGCTAAGGAACCCTACTTCAGAACAGCAGAGAACCGTGAAGCTTTGGTTACATCAGTCAGGCTCCTGCCCTTCCCAGAAGCAGCAGAGACCTTGCCTCAGGAAGGTGAACCCACGTGAAGGGAAAGAAAACCACAGGCCCCTTCTGCTCATGACAGCTGTGACTCCCCAGTCTCCAGGGTGCCAAGTCATGCCAGACACAGTGGCTTTGAAAACACAGCTGTATAAACTCTGCCCCAGCTGAACACTGACCCTGTTAGGTGCTATCCCCGAGCTGAGCCCCAGTGGCTCTGCCTGTTTAACCTGAGGCCTCATATGGCTTGGCCCCTTCTTTCTTCTGTCCAGACTTCATGACCATTTCTGCCACCCCAAACAGTTGGCTGAGGATTTTTAACATGGCCTGACATTCCTGCATTCCCCAGAGCTCAGCCTTCAGTGTGGTGTCCCCTGAAATGATGAACAGGATTCCTACCCTTGTGTGCTCACAGCAAGAGCTGCAGTTTCTCAGATGTTCAGAGACCGAGACCAAGGAAGGTGATACAGTGTGGTGGCCTTCATGACCTGCCCAGACCCCGTCACACCTTTACAAGGCCTTGCCTGTCTGAAACACCAATGCCAAAATTGCCCTGCCCCCTGCCCCTGCCTGACCTACAAGGCCCTTCCCCTGGGTCCACACTGTCCAGGTCTTCCTGGGTTCAGGCTCAGGATCTACGAAATCCTCAGGAGGGCAAGGCCACTGTGGGCCTCCTCTTTTTCTGTAAGCATGTGTGCCCATCCCATGTGGCTGGGAAAACACCTTGCTGACCTTGACCCTACAGAGCTGCCTGGATTACATTGTGTTTTCATGGCATGGCCACGTCAGCTCCACAGGGTGGGCACCATCTCTGGCACCTTCTATGGAGACCAAGGGGCTATGTGAGCTGGCACACTCGTGGGGGCCAGCTTCATCCCTGGGCCTCAGTGGTAACACCCTCGGGCCCGCAATGTCACCCAAGGGCAGGCACCAGGGGCTCCTTTGTCCAAGCTCATGGTTTTCACTGAAGATCTTTCACCCAGGACACTCTTGACCCCTGCCCGGGAGGGGCCTTGTGCAGGGCTGGGCAGCCCATGCTCCATTGCTGTCTTTGTACCATTTCAGTTTAAGTCCATGTTCTGCTTTAGAATGGTTTTAGATGGTTCCAGAAGGTGCCATCTTCCTCACCCAGGACCCACTGCTGACTTCCGATCCCCCTCTAGCACCCAGTACCATCCTGTCATGACAACCAAACTCTATTCAGATTTTACCCACTTTTACTTGAGATCTTTTCTGTCCAGGACACCACACTATACCCAGTACCACATCTTGGCTCCCCCTGACTGTAACTAGCGTCCCTTGTCACTAAAGATCTTGAGAGTTCCTAGGACTACTAGCTGGGGTACGTGTGTGTGTAGAGGGGGTTGTAGAATGTCCCTCAACTGGGATTGTGGGAGGCTGGGGCATGGATTTGAACAGGGAGAGGTGGCATACCCTCTCTCTCCTTTCACCCCCAGACACTTGCTGGTGCTAGAACCAGTGCCTTGACTGGGGTGGAGCTTGTCAAAATCTGCTGCTGCAGGGCTGTGCTTTCCCCTCCTTTCTAAATTGTCTTCTCTGGGGCCACACAGTGGGGGGAGTCCTGCCGACCCCTGTGACCCACTGTCCCCGGGCACACAGTGGGGGGAGTCCTGCCGACCTCTGTGACCCACTGTCCCCGGGCACACAGTGCCAATCTGTGCTGGAGAAGTGTCTTTCCAACCCCACTCTTAGACAAGCCAGTCCTTTCATTATGGACGTGTGTGCATGATACATCATGCATTTTCTCGCTCTGATTATTCTAGATCTGGCCTTGTGGCTGCTGCAGTTAACTCTAACCTGGCTAGTGTTACAGTTGGCTCTGACTAACTTTCTCAAAGTCATGTCAAAGTAAGTCTGGTTCGCAACTGCTGTTTGACCATTGACTATAGCCTTGTGGGCACAGTACATGGTCACATGTACCTTGACCTGAGGCCCCTTGTCTAAGGCACTCTCTCCCCTCTTTTTCTCATGCCACTAGTGCTGTGCAAGGCCCTGCCAGCTCCCAGATGAGTGACTTCAGCAGCACGGAGTCCCCTCAGCACTCCACACCTCCTGTCTTTGCTGCCTGCCCTTTATTTAACAGGTGAGCATCAGACTTAAACCTTACACCTCCACCAGAGATTAAATTCACACTAACATGCAAATTACTTCCACTAACTTCTTACCTGTCTTGAGACAGGGTAGCCTGGGTCCTGAGATACAGTGGGAAGGGTGTGTCGGGGCTGAGGATGGGGAGAGGAAAGGGAGTGAGGGGCCTGCCACCAACTGGTGAAGGAAGAGAGGCTGGCACAGAGACAATGCCTGGTAGCTCCCAGCCAGTATCAGTCAGCAGGATGTCTCCACTGGGTCCAAAACATTGAAAAGGCTCCCAAAGGGGCAGGAAAGGCTTTCCCAGAGTGGGGCACCAGGGCTATGTACAGTGGACTGGGAGAAGCAGGTGGCCAGGGGCTGGGAGCAAGATCAGGTATGGCCTCTGAGGAGGACCCAGCACCCCAGGTGGCTGTAGCTCATCAATGAGGGTGTGCCCAGGTACTTTTTTCTGTTTTCACCTCCTTCAGGCATAGTGTAGAAAGAGGCTGGAGGGCCCAAGGTCACAGTCTGCCATGGAAGTTGTCAGAGAGCAGAGCCATGGGTATTGGCTCCCTTCACGGAGAAGGAAAATGAGGACAAGCCATGTCTAGACTGCCCTCGTCTCGGGCCATTGGTTGGCCAGGGACCTACAGGTGTGGAAGACCCACCGAGAGCAAGGCCTGACCGGCAGGAGGAAAATTGTGCCCAGGGCTGTTAAGCAAAGGGAAGAGACATTGGCCTTTGAGGCCGGTGCAACTGGATGGAGTAGTCAGGTTCCCTCCAGATCTGGGAGTGCTCCTCACCCTGAGACTCCCACAGGTACTTGAAGTGGTGATTTCAAAGAGGTGTCTCCCCCATAGGCTCAAGTATTTGAACAACTGGCCAGTTGGTGGTGCTGTTTTGGGAAAGTTGTGGACTCCCTAATCACTGGGGGCAGCCTCTGAGAGTTTAGAGCCCATCCCATTTCCAGTGTTTCTCTCTCTGCTTTCCTGGGTATGCTTAAAGACATGCAAGCTCTGGTTCCATGCCTCCCTTAACATGATGGACTCTTATCCCTCCAGAACCATGAAACAAACAGGCTCTCCTTTCTATAAGTTGCCTTGGTCATGGTGTTTTATCACAGCAGAAAGTAACTAACACACATGGCATGCATGTGCCCAGGCCCAGTGCTACCTGGATGCTCTGGGGTGAGCCATTTGGGGCTGCGCATCTTCTCCAGGGACTCAACCCCTCCAGAGACCAGGAACTAGGGAGAGTTCATGAAGGAGCATGGTTGGATGCCCAGGGCTCTTCTCCGTGGATGAAGGGCAAGGCAGGGGCCGAGAACAAAAGTGGATGAAAATGGGCTGACCACTGGTGATGGGAGCTGCTGGCTGTACCCGTGCCCTGTGGGAGGGAGATTTCCACAGGGATCCCACTGCGTGACCACGGGGGGCAGAGAACCTAGCACATCACTTGGGAACTGGTGAGGACATCATTGCCAAGTCCTCTAATGCCTTGAGTGTCTTTTAGTGGTGCCTCTGTCTGCTGAGATGTGTAACAAAATTCCACAGTGTAGGGCCTTCAACAGCAGCCACAAATCCAGAGGCTGGAAGTCCTGAGCAACCAGGAGTTTCTTCCTGGTTTGTCCTAGCTGCTCTTCCATATGAGGAACAAGCCAGGGCCTCATCCTCTCCTTATAAGGTCACGAGCCCGGGTGGATAGAAGCCCCCCACCTTGTGATTCTGTCTCCATCACTGCCTTGAAGTTATGACTCCAAACATTGCTGCATGTGAGGTTTAGGCCTTCAAAATGTGAACTTCAGGATACACAAATCAGTTCTTAGCTTGAGGAACTAACCAGGGTCCATTCCCCCGTGGGATTCATGTGTATCGGTCTACAGGGACATGGGTCATGAGTGGGCTGCATCCTGGAAAGATGGAAGGGGTTGGAGCCACCCAGTGTGAGTCCTGGACCGTGGGCATCAGCACCTGTCCACACCTTGACTCTTGCTCCTACAAGCCGACACTAACGCATTCCTGCCCTTCAGGGTTTGTGGGGAAATGAGTGCAGTGGCTCAGGTGATGCTCTAAGGATGGAGCCTATTTGTTAAGCTGCACTCTTAGTGACAAGTCACTGCACTTTTCTTCCAGGAACATGGACACACTGACGACAACAGAGCCAGACGCACAAGACACATGAGGAGCACGGGCATGAGACACAGGGCTCCGGAAGCCATGCGGTGACATGGTACGAGCACCCCCCGCCCGCGCACTGCACGCCTTACCTCGGAAGTAGGGGATGTAATGATGTCTGAACACGGATGTAGGGCTTGGGTGTTGGGACAGGGACAGACAGCTACTGGTACCAACACTCGCAGTACCAGCTGCGGGCGACAGAGAGCAGTCAGTAACCCTGGGCTCCTCCACCCCAGAGCCACCAAATTGCCCTGGTCCCCACTCTGCTGGGGACACTGTCTTCCACGCTCCAGGAGCTCACATCTTTCTGGGGCTCCTGAAGGTGGGGGGCACAGCAGGCTGTGGGCATTCTCCTCCAGATGGGGTCAAGAGATGCTGCCCCTGAGTAGCCAGGGCTTGAGCCTCTGGCTCTGCATGTGGCTCACTGTGGAGGGCAGCTGCCAGAGGTCAGGGAGTAGTCTGTCACCAGCATCCTCATGGATCTTGCCAGTTCAGACATAAGGCTTGGCTCTCTGGGCTTTACCTATGACCAAGCAGTCAGCAGCCAGGCCCTGCTGGTGATGCGGGGTCAGGGGTCAAGTCATAAGGTGCCTCAAGGGAAGGGTTCAAGAAAGTCATTGCTGTTGACTTACTGATTCATTTATACACCTGCTCACCTGTGCACTCACTCATTCACTCATCCATTCATTCATTCATTCACTCACTCTCTCACTCATTCTCACCCCCCCACCCACTCACTCACTCACTCATTCACTCATCCATTCATTCATTCATTCACTCACTCTCTCACTCATTCTCACCCACCCACCCACTCACTCACTCACTCATTCACTCACTCACTCACCCACCCACCCACTCACTCACCCACCCACCCACTCACTCATTCATTCATTCACTCACTCATTCTCACCCACCCACCCACTCACTCACTCATTCACTCATTCACTCACTCATTCACTCACTCACTCACCCGTCTACCCACTCACTCACCCACCCACCCACTCACTCACTCATTCACTCACTCATTCACTCAGCCACTCATTCATTCACTCATTCACTCACTCATTCTCACTCATCCACCCACCCACTCACCTACTCACTCACTCATTCACTCACTCACTCACTCATTCACTCACTCACCCACCCACTCACTCACCCCCCCACCCACCCACTCATTCATTCACTCATTCACTCACTCATTCTCACTCACTCATCCACCCACCCACTCACCTACTCAGTCACTCATTCACTCATTCACTCACTCATTCATTCACTCACTCTCTCACCTACCCACCCACACACCCACTCACTCACTCACCTCACTCACATACCCTCTCTCATAGCATCTGCTGAGCAAAATGTACCAGGCTTGTTGCAAAAAGTCAATGAAAATGATTGCAAACGAGTGAGTTTTGATTTTTCCATAAGTTTGCAAAAATAAGAACTGCAATCTGATCCACGGGTGTGAAAATGGGATCATGCACAGCTGGTCGCGGGGGGTGCGGGGAGCAGCTTGGAAAAATCCCTCCAAAGGGCAGCATGGTCCCTGTGGCTTTGGCATGCCCGCACAAAGCCAAGGGAGCCAATGCAAGCTGGGTGCAGGCGGGGATGAGGCAAGGCTGGAGGAGCACAGGGCTCTCTCCCACCCGGAAGGAGCCTGATTGCATCTTGCCAACTTCCTTGAGAGAACAGCTGTCTCTAGGGTCACCAACTGAGTGACAGTGTTAACAGACATTGGGACTGGGTGATGACAGTTGAATCTGAGCCCCCAGCTCAGGTCCTCCCAGACTCCCTTGGGCTCAGAACAGGCTGTGTGGTTTGGTCTCCTGCTGTGTGTGTTATTTTACATCCCTGGTATCTGTTACTGCTACGGGGGTCTACTGTAGGTGTTCCTCAAGGCCCTCATGCTTCTCAGGATGTGTGCTCTGCTCAGCAGTTCCTCCACATCTCCCCGCCCCAACTAGCTGCCCCAAGGCTGTTCCTCCAGGCATGAGGCAGTCCTTTTCCTAAGCGGCCAGGCTCTCTACCGCCCACCCACTGGTGTGCCCCCCGCCTCCCCACCATATTTCTCAATGAATAAAGAAGCAGAATCAGCAAGGGAGAAGCTCAGTCTCATTGGGGTCAAAAGAGTCAAAGTGGGGTGTGAGTACCTGGACGGCTGTAGTGCTGGGGTGACCGTGAGGTTGGAGTGTAGTGCCCAAGGCTGACAGAGCCAGCAGAGCTGGGGCTGGAGGTCCGGCACTGCTTATAGGACCGATCATCCTGATCCCCCTGGGTGGGAAGACACAGCATATGAGCACCAAGGTCAGGAGCACTGCCCACCCCTCACCCACCCCATTATTTGCCCTCTGAACCTCAGGAACTGGTACAACCTGGCCCTAAGTCACAGTCCCCTGCCCCAGCCAGGGCATGTCTGGAGAGCCAGGTGGGACCTGGCTATCCTATGGACCCTGTGCCCAATGGCTACCCACCCCTCCTATCTGTCCCTCCTGGATGCTAGGACTTATGGGAAGAGGTGGAAGGGCCCCTACCTGCATCTCCCATTCCCCTCCCTCCTAAGGAACACAGTTTGAGGACACTAAAATGCTCCCCTTCCTCATGGGTGCCCCTCACATGTGAGGGAGGCTCTAGATGCTTCAGGGGGAAGATGGTGCCCTCTGGGATCCAGAAGCCAACCAATGAAACCCACAAGCACTTATGACACAGGCCCCATCTGAGCAGGAAGGGGAGCTGCTGGAAGTGGTTAGAGCGGGCGGCAGCAGCGTGAGATGGCATGGCGCCGTGGCATGGGAATCAGGTTGCCCAGCCCTCGGCAGTGTGGCCTGGTGGCCTGGGTCATGCCAGCCCACCCAGCCCACCCGAGCACCCTACAGCAGCAGGGCCTCCATGGTGCCCCAAGCACTGTTTCCAAAGAGACAGGCTGAGGAGCCTCTGGAGGGACCAGGCAGGGGCTCTTGCCAAGGATCCTGCTTGTAAAGCTAAAGGACCAACAGGCGCGCTGTAGCCTGAAGAGATAAGGAAATCCTTGCTGCCGGGACCACCGCTGCGGGCTGGACTGGGAAACTCCTGAAAGATGTGGAGGGCAGGAAGCAAATGGTCCCAATTATTTGACTCCCATCCTCAGTTTTTCCATTGGTAAAATGGGAAAGTCCTGGAAATACCTCTGGGGGTTGTCCTGGGACAAAGGGATTAGGTATAAAGTGTTTGTGACCATGCTGAGCACGAACGAAGGCTCAAGTATGTGCTGTGCCCTGTGCTCTACTGAGCCCAGGCTCCATCATGCAGACTAAAGGGCAATGACCTGCACTGCTGATCTGAGGATCAAGCCCTGGGCTGCTAATGGAAGGCTTATTTGATAGAGCTGCTTTCAGAGCTCTCAACCTCGAGGGCCCAGCACTTCCTATATATCCATCAGGGGCATGAAGTGGAACCCAGCTAGCCCAAGAAAGCCATGACCCAGGCCAGGATCTGCTGGGCGACACATCCTGGGTATCTGTGAAGGCCTGGCTGACAAACACGGGGCAGCATGCAGATGAGATGCGATTATAAAAACAACCAGCAGGAAGGGGCAGGAACCCAGAGCTCCGTGGCCAGGGCCCTCCGGGTGCCACACTGGTCGTCTCTATAACCGCACGGGCAGCAGCACCATGAGCACACGGGGCACAGGCATGAATGGGGGTAAGTTACCTCAGTCGGCGTTGGCGAGAGCAACTGAGGCGACTGTGGACACAACAGAGTGGCCTGTTAGTGCGCAGTACCAGGGGCTGCATTGGGGAAAGGGGCTGTTGGGTAGCCAGCAGGCAACACAGGCGCCCACATTCACAGAGTGACCTGAGTTTCAAACTGGGATCAAGAGCCCCATCATGCGAGACGAACTTGATGCTGTTGAGCCTAGTTCTTTCCTCCACTCTGCCCACCACGCTCTCCACAGAGGCCACGATTTCAAAAAGAAAGTTGTTGGTGCCTCAGGGCCCAGTGAGGTGACATTTCATGAACACATCCCCTTGGTTTTCTTCAGAGAGGACAGAATGGGGGAGTTGGGGCAGTAGAAAGCGAGCAGCTGGGGCCATGTGCAGAAAGGAGGTGGAGGCTCAGAGAAGTGAAACTGTCCCTTTGCTTGTAGCCAATGAGTTTTTTCTGGTCTAGAAGGGCAGTTCTTTTGCCCCACTCTGAGCACCCAGACAGCAGTGGCCAGAGCAGACCAGGCCCATGTGCGTCTCAACTGTGCCTTATTTGGCTTCTGTTTTCTTATGTACTATTGGGAACATTCATTCCCAGGGTCTGAGCTACAAATGCAGGTGTAGAAATGAAATCTGCTTTGGACTGCTGGGTAACAATGGTCCAGAGGGAAGGGGCAGTGATGGAACCATCAGCACATCTATGTTGTGCCGTGGCAGATTCTGTGTCACCCTTCCGACTCCCGTGTGAACATTACTGTGGATACCCGTGCCCCAGGACAGCCTGGCACTGCCCCTGCTGCAGCAGGTTCTGGGGAGGGTGACTCCTGAGTACAGTGCCCCCAACTTCTGCCTCACTGCCCTCCAGGGCAAGGTCCTTGTTTTAGGAGCCAGCTGTGGGTCACACATCATTTGAGGGGTGTGGCCTCAGATGCTGAAAGAAACTCCAGAAGCTTCAGGACCCTGTGTCCACAGCTCTACGCCACACTCCAATCTTGAGTTGTGACAGTGTGTGACCCATGCATACCAGACAAAGATACCAGCAAGCCAGCAGCCTAGCGTACCACTGCTGCCCAGTACAGCCCTTCCTAGTGCTCAGGCCTTTGCAGGAGAATTCCAGCACTCCATTCAGAGAGAGGTCCAGTGGCATCCTGTGGCTGAGAACAGCAAAACTTGAACCCAGCTCTGAGATCTGAATTCCACGTCTCAGAGGAGCAGCCAAGGGAAGAGCCTGTGTGTGGTCTTTGGGGAAGAAAGGCCTGGCTTTGTGGCGCAGAGAGGTCCAGCTGAGCTGTTTGATCTCTGACCCTGTCCAGATACCTGCTACATGAAGGCCAGAAGTGGAATGATGAAGCCATATCCAGCTCAGGTATGTGGTGCACAGAGTTGTGGAAATGTCCACACCTCCCACAGTAGTCAGTGGGGCTGGTGCCCTCCTCCTAGGTCTGTGTGTCCATCCCCGAGTGACCCTCAGGGCCCTGCAGGCCCATTTGGCAGCTGTGGCATTCCGGCACCACCATGTGTACATGGTGCCCTGGTTCTTAGCCCCAGTTCCCCGAGGCCCTGCAGGAGCCACAGAACGAGGTGTCAAAGGGAAACATGTTTGGAATGACCTGTTTCAGGTGAGCACCTGTCCTGAGTGCCACATACAGCCACACTAAGACCTTACAACAGAAGGAAGACACAACCCGACAGGAGCTCCATGTTTGATGCGGGTAGGCAGACTGAATAAGGCATCACAAAGGGATGCTGTCCATCTGCAGGACACTGGGAATTGTAGTTTGATGTTCACCCAGCCTGGGGAATAGGCTCAAGGAACCCACAGGAGAGGAGCTGGTCAGGGAGCATGGGCACAAGGTCACATGGTCCAGAGAGGGAAAAGCATGCACTTCATGCTTCCCGAGAACACTCTGTGCTGAGGGAAAGGCGGAGATTTTCAGTGTACATCCTTTTCCTGCTCAGCTTCACATGCTTTCAGAATCATTTCTTCCCTGAAGGGAGTTGGGTTGTAGTGAGAGCGTCTTAAATAAGAAGGACAGGTTATCTAGGGGTGAAGAAGTGGGGAGGAGTGATGATAACTAAACTCTGTCCAGAGGGGCCAGCACGGGGGTGCAGCATGCAACACACAGGGCAGGGTCATACCTCGCCATAGCTCTGCCTGTCCCCCACGGCTGAGTGGCTGATGTAGGGTGAGTAGGAGATCATGTCGGGGCGGTCGATGTTATAGATCGCCTTGTTTTTGGGAAGAGCAGCCAAGTCCCTGTAGTCCAGGATCTCATCGCCAAGCTTCGCCTGACAGGAGAGAGCAGGGGAGGGGACACTGAGGCTGCACGCCCAGCCAGAGCCGCTCTGGTGCCAGCACTGAGAACAGCGGGGGAGGCAGGACTGCAGCACACACAGCCCCCACATGGGTGTGACAGAGATGCAGAGCCACAGGTCTGAACACAGGGATGGCTCTGGGGTCAGACGAGGTCAGAAGGTGAACCTGTGATGTGCTGATACAGGGCCTGACAGAGACTCAGACTGTGACCTAAAACTGCACACACAGGTACATGGCATAAACATATAACACAGGCATGCACATACACAACACTCCCACTTTCATATAACACGCACACATGTATACACACATCAGTGCATACACAGGATGCCTAAGGTAATAAGGACGCACACAACACACATGACTGCACCCACTTCCACATGATAGTACACAACGGCTGATACACAGCATACTCTCAACTGTCAGCACACCAGGACTGAATCCTGCAAGTTTTTATACACACACACATACATGCAACACTACATACTCTCCCCACCCAGAACAAATGAGCATGTACACATTCTCCCTCCCTCCCTCCCTCTGTCTCTGTCTCTGTCTCTGTCTCTCTCTCTCTCTCAGTATAGTAGCTATATGCTCAGCATTTGACAGGGTGCTGGCCAACACCTGACCTCGCATCTTGTGACCCTGGCCCACTTGAACTCACTGACTGTGATGCTTTGAGCTGCTGCATGGGCTCAGGCGAGCTCTACCTGCCTGTTGCTGCTCCTGCTCCCACTGCCCAGCCTCGTCATGCCCATACCTGCCCTGTTGTCCTTCCTCTCCCCTCTGGCTCTCAGGGCTCCTAGGCACTACCTGGAGTACTTTGAAGCCCAGGTGGCTCTGGGCTAGACCCTCCCTGCTCATATCTAATTTGTGCAACAGCCTCCGACAGGCCTCCGGTGCTGGGATTCTGACAAAGCCTCAACAGCCACAGCAGATGCTTCTCTGCCCTGGACCAGGCTCTCACAGTTCTCCATGACAGAAATTCTGGCAGTACTCCCTTTTACAGATGAAGAGTCCAGAGCTCAGAGAGGCTGGGCGACTTGCTGAGAGTCACCCAGCCAGGAGGGCATGGCAGCTGTCTGGCCCTAGAGCCCCTCGCCCGGTTGTATTGCTCTCTGTAGGCCCCACCCCTAGGACTCCCAAGCTCCAACTGCATCACGTGGCTTCCCTGCTCACATCTCCAGACAGCCCCCACTTCAGGTCACCCAAGTCCTTGCCTATAGTCTGTCCAGAACCTGCCAGGCTCAGTCCCTCACTCCTATAGTCTTCAGAGCCTGGCAGCCCTAGCCCACCTCTTCCAGGAACCCTTTTCTGACCACTGGACTTACTCTAGAACCCCCCCAGGACATTTGGGGGCATGACGTACACTCAGAGTGAAGGCCCAGTACTTTAAATCTCTGGTCTGTTTGAGGCCAGGGCAGGCTTCAAAAGATCTGAGATCAAATCCTGAGGGTTTGTGGTCATTGTAGCCCAACCTGTTGGATTTTCCAGCTGTGAGACTGGAGAGCTCAGAGGTTTCAGCCCTGCCTATCTGTTGGTCCCGGTCTCCTCCGCCCCAATTCCACACCTCCTGCCCCTCGGGTCCTGCAATTCCCATGCCTTATCTGAAGGGTTTGTGCACAGTGTGCCCCCAAGACATACCCTTCCCCACTCAGGTTGGTCTCTCCTCCAGTCCCTCCTCATCCAAGTTGGATTCCATTTTCTCTGGGTAAACAGCTGACTTTCTTTGGACCTGTATGTCTTCCCCCAAGTTCCCAGCTCAGAAGTAGAGTGGTCCAGGACCCTGTGGCTTTGTCAACTTCTATTTAACACTGAGCTCAACCCAGTCACTATACCAGGCCCACTGCCAGAGCAAATTTAAAACAATGAGGCATCTGCACAGGCAGGTGGGCACCCTAGCCTCTGTGTCCCATGACACTGGGCTGCCAACTGTGCTTTGTCCCCTTCTGAACTGCTGTGAAGTCCCATGCAGACACTCTAGAAAAGGATACATGGGACATTCCAGACACTTGCATTTCCCAGGTCACCTTGAATGCTGTACTCTCCCCTACTCATCTGCCATTCTGGCTCTCTTCCCCCAACACCCCCCCCAGTGCCAGGGTGGGAGACCAGTCCTTACCCCTCATTCCTTAGGTTCCTGTAACACCCAGCCCCCAACAGTAGGAACGTGAGCAGACAGCCTGCATGATGCCAACGGCCCAGCAGCTGCCTGTCCTAAACCAAGGTCACCAAGAAGCCTTGTGGAGTTACTTCCTCCACTGTAAAGGCCTAGGATGGTTGCCATGACAACGGGCTAAGCTTTCTAATTGGTGAAACTTACTGGCGCGTGTGTGTGCGTGTGTGCGTGTGTGTGTGTGCGTATCCTCTTTGCTTTCTTCTTTCCCACACTCCATGCATCAAAATAAATATGATCACATGTGGCACTGTGATTGTACACCCTCCAGCTGACAGTAATACATAGTGTGGTGAACATGCTTTCAAATCACACTCCATGGCCATGGCCAGAAAGAAGTGACAAAACACTGTTCACCATGGCTTCCCATTGTTAAACAGCAAGTCACACTTACTGTTAGAAAAGCTGCCACGGGGCTGGCTCCACAGGGCCCCAGCTGCAGAGCTCTGCTGGGGGATTAGTGAGGGGACTCGTCTTTCCTACCAGCCACTGTTATTGCAGAGCAAATGTGAAGTGCTTTTGTGATAAACATGGGGGCTGGGGATGTGGCTCAGTTGGTAGAGTGCCTGCCTGGCACACATGAAGTCTGCAATTGGATCCCCAGAGCCACATGAACTGGGTGTGGTGGACCTGGCCTGCAATCCCAGCACTCCAGGGGTACAGACGTGAGGATCAGAGGTTTAAGCTTGGCTAAATGGGGAGTTTAAGGCTACCTTTGGTTACATGAGACCCTGCCGAGAGAGGGAGAGGGAGAGAGAGAGAGAGGGAGAGAAAGAAAGCTGACACTAGATGAAAGCAGTCAGGATACATATGCACCCTGTGAAGACACAGGGAGATCTGTCTGCAAGTTAAACAGAAAGACCTCAGGAAGAACCAGGCTGCCTTGTCTGAGGCCTGGATTCAGGACTCTAGACCTCACAGGCCATGCCTCAGCGGCCCCTGTGGGCTTGGGCTAACCCTAAATGAGCTCTCAGAGGCCCAGAGAGGGAAACACCTTGCCCAGGGGCCCAGCAGCCAATCTGTGGCTCTCATAGGCCCCAGCTGAGCCTCAGCATGGGTATCCCCAGAAGGTGCTGGTGGCATCACCCTCCACATTGAGGTCACGGTTACCCCAGGAAGAGGACCTGTTATTACCATCCACCAGAAGTTGTCAGAGTGACCCTCTGCCAGCCATTACCAGAGGTTAGAGGACAAAACTATGGAAGAGGGTGAACCCAGCAACTTGCCATTCTGTTGGAGATCAAGGACCTGGCCAGTGTGGGAGGTGGATGGTGGAAGTGGCTTGTTCCCTGTCACCTGTCTTCCTGTCCAGTCCTGGGCTCCTTTCCCCCAGAGTACCACCTATCATCTTGTGCCTTCAAATGCTTGATGACAAATTTTGTTACTTATGCAAATAATTCTGAACAATACCCTCCTATCTCTAACCTGCCCTCAGGGGTAACTGCTATAAATTTTCTTAAAATTGTTCCAGTCCTTTTTATACTTGATATAGCGTATAGTGTGTGCATGGGCACACCCTTGAAGGCTGCAGATCTCATCTTAAAGAGATGACATTGGAAAGGCAGCTACAGGCCAAGTCAGATGAATTTTCAGCTCTTTATTTAATTGTTGTTTCTTTTCCCATTTGAACAGCCCTCTTTTCTGCTCCTTCCTTGTCCTCTAAGAGTCTTTCCTAGGTTCACCTGTATTGTCCCAAATGGAGGCCTTCCAGGCTTTTCTCCTTTTTAAATGTTGAATAGTATTCTATCACACACACACACACACACACACACACACACACACACACACGTGTTACATAGACCCATCATCCCCAGTATGCTTCTTATGGAACAGGGAAGACACTATCTACATTCACATACATGAACCTGTGTAGTGGTTCCAAAGTCCCCATGGTCCCTCTGAGAGCATGGCTCACCCTAACTGGGGGCCAGTCTGCAGTATTATGAGCTATGCACACTGCTTTCTGTTCCCAGGACCAACCAGTTGGGAATAAATTTCCAGGGCTTTGCCCTGGCTCAGGTTCTCAGGTTTTGAGTCACCTTCAAAGTCTGCAGCCCCTCCTTCCTCAAGGCAGTCCTGAAAGTCCAGCCTCACCCATGCTACCCACAGTGACTGTCCTCAGCAGACTTTACAGTCCCCGTGGCACTGACTCAGCTGGGGCACTTTCTGTGGAGTCCCACTTACGTAGATCACACGGCTTGGGGACCCGGACGTGCTGGAGGCAGGCACTGAGACAATGCTCTCAGAGGACGTCCTGGTTTCCTAGAACAGAGGAATGGGGTCTGCGCTGAGTGACATGTGAGGAACCTTCCAGAGGCAGCTCTGGGATGGTGGCAGGATTGCCAGCAACCTCAGCAGGTGGAATGTCTTCCCTTTTTGTGAGTTGAGGGAAGTTTTGGAACAAACACACATGCTCGGGTGAACATCTGGAAAGTTACAATCAGACAACACAGCAGGCCATAGGTGACAGGCAAAGGGTCCAGGTGCCCAACACTGGCTGAATGCTCCAAAGGTCTTGAGAGGTGCTGGGGGTGGGGGCGATTTGTGTCTCCTCCAGCTCCAAGGTGCAAGGCAGCCCAGTTACCCACTATCCTGCTGTGCCGAGACTGCTCCTAGATAAAGTGGGGAGGGTCGAGGATGATGACACATGGGCAAACTGTGTAGCTGGTTCCCCAGTCAGCCTTGATGGGCAAGTCCCTTTCCTCAGGTGAGCAGTCATCCTCCAGCACCATCCTGCGGCTTCATCTCCGCATCCCTGATCTGATCCCCAGACCCTTCTCAGTTGGTCCCTCCCACACGCCTAGACTCAGCCCTATCAGGGCAGTATTACGTGATGTGTGATATTACTGTCATGCTCTTGGGCCCCCTGCCAGCCTATGCTGCTGACTGGCTCACGCAGTCCTTGGACAGCCCTCCCCCAGCCTCTACTGTACCCAGCACCAGCTCCAGCTCTTCTGCTCTGACTCCGCCTTCCCCTCATGCATAGGCTGCTCCTGTGTGCCCAGCATCTGGCAACCATCCCTGGCAGGACCCACACACCTGGCCACTCTGCTCCCCTTCTCCTGGTCTAGCCGTCACTCCAGGACTCCTACCTGCCTGCCCTCCATGCATCCTACTCCCATCTGAGAGGAACACATCCCACCAGGAACACATCCCACCTCGAGAGCCATGAGCTCTTGACCCCTCTGTCCTTAGCCTCGTGTCCCCCACTGAGCCTCCTCAGTGACCCCTGCTGCCACCACCCCTGCCTCCTTTTCTTCAACAGGCCCTTCATTGCCCATGATGACTGTCCCATGTCCTTACCCTGCAGTGACTGACATCAGTTAGGGGCTGAATTGGTTTCCCTCAATCCTGTGTAGAAACCCTACCCTGGGGCCTCAGAGTGTGACGTGACCCTGTGGAGATGGGTCTTCACGGAAGTCACAAGGTGAAATGGGTCACTGGGGAGACTCCAAGAAAATCTACCTGGGGTCTAGGTAGAGGTCAGAATCCAGACACATGCACACACGCACGCCTGCACACACAACATGAGAGAACAGGAAGAAGACACTGCTGCCAGTTGAGTAGAGAGGCCTCAGGAGGAGCCAGCTTGGTACCTGGGCTCCACCTAACTCTTAAAGCCCCCAGGTTATGGGGCTGCAGAGCAATCCTAAAACCTCAGACTGAGTGCCTCCTCATGAGGCCTCCCCTCCTGAGAGCCTCCTACATGACACCAGCAGGGACAGGTGGACGCCAGGACCAGACGTGCCACACACGGCGGCAGGAGGCACAAACCTGTAAGGCACAGGCCGATGCGCCCGGGCAGGTCTGTCTGCAAATGGGGCTGTGCATCTACAAGGGAGAGAGGAGGGACGGCGTGATGCTCACACCCAACTCTCCACTTGATTGATCACCTGCATCTCCTCCACAGGCCATGTGCTCCAGACCATCAGCACCAAGCTCTCTCCTTCCTGTACCCTTCATTTCCTTGACCCCTCAGCTCAGGACCTAGTGTCAACTCAGACGTGCATGAGGCCCCTGTGACCATAGGCTTCTGAGGTTGATAGGGGTGGGCTTGCCTCACAGGGGAGCTTCCCAGTCCTTGGTCACCCCAGATCTCAGCATAGCCACATGCAGGGAAGCCAGGCTTCCTGGTCCTGTAATAGGTGCTTTTTGCGTGTGAGCTGGGAGACCAGGTGGGTATCGTGTTTTACTGACCCTGAATGAAGCCTGGCTGGAGTTCAAGAATTTGAAATGCCTCTTGGGCCTCAGTTTCCTTCTTTGAAAGTGGCAAAATGCTCAGAGAGGGGCCTGCCATTCCTGGCATCCAGAGCAAAGTCTCTCTCAGGGCAAGCCAGCAGAATATGTGAGCCAGCCCCATGCAGCAGGCAGAGGTTGCCAATCCTACCTCCATTTGTGCCGGGGCTCCTGCTGCCTGCCCTCCCTGACTCAGCTCTGTGGGGAGTGCAGCTCAGGGCCTGCCCCACTGTTAGCTAGGGAGGCAGGGAGAGGACTTGAGATGACTGTCCCTTGGGCAAGGACTACCTGGGAAGCTGCTCTGCTTCCCCCATCCCTCCCTGACTGCAGTCTGCCCCACAGAGCCTCACAGGGAACCCTAGCTTCACACCCTCAGAGCCATGTGGAGCTGTCTTGCTCCCACCCAGAGAGACAAGACCAACACCTGGAACTCACAGCCCTGACTACTGGAAGCAGCTATACTATGGCTGTGACTTGGGGTGCCTGATTCACTGATTTTGATACCCACTCACCTCCATATTAAAACTGAGGGTCTGGGACCCAGAGAAGGCTGGCGACTTGCTCAAGTTCACAGAGTTGGGAAGAGACAGAACTGGACTTTAGTACCAAAGCTGTTCTACCACCTCAGCCCAGCGTGGGCTCTCACATCCAGCCAGGAAGCCCTTGTACTTGGGCTTTCCTGTGCGCTCAACAAGCCTGCTGGCTCCCAGCTCAGCATCCAGTCTCCAACTTCTCCCAGCCTCCCACCCACAGCAACCAGTCCAAACTCTGCTGCAGAGGCCTCTAAGCTTTTCCCAAGGTCACTAAGAAGTGCCACTGTGGAAGCCCATAGCCTGTGGGACCAGCTGGCCAGAACAGGTTCCCTGCTCTGAAGTCATGCAGCCCCTGGCAGGGCAGGTGCCTCTGAGATAAGCCGTCCCTATAGCCACCTCCAAGGCTCAGCTCTAGCTACTGAGCAGCACAGAGGACCCAAAGCTTCATGGCCCAAAGCACTCAGGACCCAGGCCCAGTCTGAACAGCGAGTCTCAGCTCTAGGAAGACACCGGATTCCACCAAGGCAGCAGGGACACAGCTTGACCCACACTGACCACACTGCAGATAGGGCTCTTCTAGCAGGGTCCCCACAGACCTCATCCACCTGGGTTTCAGGTACCACAGTGGGTGCCTGGCAGTTCAGTAAGGATCCCATGCCTATGGGCCTGGATGGTCAGGACTGCATTGCCCAATGTCCATTGAGCACCTGCTGCAGACATCAGAACCTACAACTTGGGGTCCTTGTCTTCAGCAAACTCGCTGCCCCGGGGGTGGGGGGCAGTCACACAGTTGAGGCCACCTTCTAGGCAGCAGGGAAAGGTGTGTCCTCCCTCCTTCAGGCCTGTTCTTGCATGGAGAGTCCAATCAGGAACCAGTGTCTCTTGCTGGAGAGTGAGTCCCCTGAGCGTTCTGGAGTCATCCAAGAGCCAGCACAGAGGGGCACTTGTTAGTGACTGCTAAGACCAAGACAGGAAATAACTTCTCATCTTGGCCCCTGGGTAGAAAGGAGGTGCCACCTCCACTTGGCGGCAGATCTCAGAAGTCAGCAGCATGGATGCCACCTTCCTCTGTGCTGCATCCCTTGGGTGTGGGGGCTGCCTGAGCTAACCAGGTCTGCCTGGCTGTGCCTACTCAGGAATTGAAACACAGAGGGGAACAACAGAGGGTTAGGAGTCTGTCCCCTCTACTCCTAGGCTAGACCAGGCATCTAGCCCTGTGAATCCCTGGCAGAGGACCAAGAGGGCAGCTGGTCTCAGGCTGCCCAACCTCTGCCCGAAACGTTGGCTGAAGGAGAAAAGCCTTCATTTTGAATATGCTCGCTTCAGTCGCTGTGCCGGCCACAGAGCCCAGGAGACAGAGCCTGAGTGCACAGGCACAGGAGAACAAGGCTGCCTTCTTCCCTGGACTGGCAGAGCCTCCCAGCTGGCCAGGGACCAGAGAAAGTGAGGGCAGTTGCCCTGTCCTTGAGGCTGCCTGTGGTCATGAGGGAGGCGGGAACTCCCTTTCCTAGCTCTGATGGGTCTCAGGATGGGATGCTCCCTGTACCTATATATGTCAGAAAGCCTGTTTAAAGCCTCTGGGCTTGCCAGGCTTCCTCCTTCCCTTTCCTGGGCCCTCAGGACAGCATGGGGGAGCCTGCAGACACAGATGGAGTCAGGCCCTGGGGGTCATATCAAGGTCACCAGGCCATTGCCAAGAGCAGAAATGCCCTGGGTGTAGACAGTTTGCAGTATGAATCAGCCCATGCTGGCCATGGCTGAGGAAGACCGAGCACACAATGGACAGTTGCTCACTAGCCTCTTGTCTGGGGAAGCCACAGTAAGGACTTAATAAAGGACCGAGCTGTGACCATGGGAGGCAGAATAATGCAGTCATTGGGGTGTGGCGGGTCCAAGCTCTGCTGAGAGGATCCTGCTGCCCACAGGCTCTGTGCTCCTCCCTGTGGCCTGCTTATCCTCCTGCTCCTGTTACTGCCAGACCCCCCCATTCCCCTCCCTTCCCCCTCCTCCCATCCCTCCTCTTCTCCCTCCTCCTCCTCTCCCTCCTCCTCCCCTCCCTCCTCCTCCTGCCCCCCCTCCTCCCCCTCCCCCCCTTCTTCCTGCTCTGCCCTCTAATTATCTAAGAAGTAAGCAGTCAACCCAGGCTCAGCACTCAGGCTTGAGTTTGAGTTCTGTCCCTGATCTAACACACCCTTGGAATGTTGTGCTTCCTTCCCATCCAGGGGTGGCAACTGTTTCTCTGGCTCTAAGACAGGAACCCCAGTTCCTGGAAAATAGCAGAGTGTATGTGGGTTCAGAATCTGGCCCTGCTCAGAGGCTGAGGTCATGCTCATCCTACCTCAGATGCAGCTGTGTTCAGGGAAGGCTGGCCATACCTTACCATCTCAGGTTGAGGATGGCCATGCCAGGGAAACCAACCTGTGACCTGGGGCAGGAGCCTTAGGTCACATGGAACCAGTTGACCTGACATGTGGGCCAGGTTCACTGACAAGTCACACCTGTAGCAGAGTCCCAGTGAAGTCTTAGGCACCCAGCTTGCCTGGTGGGCAGTGCTCAGAGTGCCGTATCCCACATCTGTGCAGGAGGATGACACACCCGACTCCAAGAGAAGATCTGCCTGGGGCCACTGGCCATCTGACCATCCTCCCCTCAAGAACTTGATAAACAACAGGCCAGCTGTCAGTGAGGACATGGGAACTGTCAAGCCCAGGGTCGGTTTGGACCCTCTTGGTGCTCATGAGGACTGTCTAGGGTCTCCAAAACTGTCAAAACCACCTCTACTCACTGGCTGGACACAGAGGTCAACAGGGTCAAGTCAACAGGGTGGGGTCCCATTAGACCAGTGTGATGGCTCACTGACCAGTGTGATGGTCCCCCATCTTGTGCCCCCCCATCTCTCTACTGCTTCAGAGGCCTGGTTGAGGAGCTTGCACAGGCTGGCCTGCCCCCCTCTCTCTAACCAGTGTGAGGAGACACACAAGTGGGAAAGGACACAGGAAAGCTATGAGTCTTACCAACCTTGCTCTTGTCCTCAGTCCTGGCTGCTTGCCGACATGCTGGGTGCCAGATGGAGGAGCCTGTGGACAGATTCCCAAAAGGGGGAAGGTCAGAGGGTGGGCCCCAATGAATGTGAGACCAGTGTAAGAAGTTAGAGGGAGGTGTGGTTCATAAATGGACACCTGCTCACCACTCTCTGAGCAGGCCTGATGTCTCCTTTGTGCTGGGGTGACCCAGGCCTGGGATGCAGAAGACACAGCTCCTGGGCCAGGTGGCTGGCAGTCTGTGCAATAATGGCATGAGGAAAAGGGGCAAACCAATCACTGTGGGCCATTTGCTCCACAATAGGCAGCATGGGGTTCCAGGGAGCCTGGGGCGCATGGACACACCTAGGGCAGTCAGAAGTGTTCTCAGAGGTGTTCAAGTGCAGAAACAGGAATGGGAAAGCGGTGCCATGGCCAGGAGATCGTGAAAGTCACAGGACCCACACTTCTCAGAGCTCCAGCTACTGCAGCAGCCACCTATCAGATACCACAGCTGTCAGATCAGGTGAGGACCAAGCAGAGGGCCTCAGGGTGGGCAGGCATGAGGGGGTCCTGGTCATAGGCTCCAGCACAGTGTGGAGCATAAGCGAGTGCCACCAGCTCAGTCTAAACCCTCACTGTACAGTGTAGGAAACCCACACACAACAGGGGGCAGCCTGGGCAGCCCTGGAAGGTCCTACTGTAGAGTTTGGGACAGCCCAGACTCATGAAGGGCAGCTTTGTTCTCTGAGATGAGGGCACTCTTGTGCAAACTCACATCTCCAATCCACGGTCCCAGGGCTGTTGTGTTTGGTGGTGTTGCTGGCCCACTATCTGAGGGCCCCATTTACAGCGAAGCCTCAGCAGAGGGCCTCCTGTCAGACAACTGCTATGGCCAGCCCGGCTCAACAGGCGACAGTGGGACAAGGCCAGCCCATCTGACATCACCTTCAGGCTTGCCTCAGAAAGGCAGGCCTGTGTGACACACAGCCAGTGTGGCTCGTCCATGTGAGGTCACTCAGCGCTAGTCTGTGCACAGTGCACAGCAGATACAGCTGCCATGAGCTCCCTCCCTTACCTGCCCTGCTCAGCTGCTGCTGGGATCCCAGGAGACTCACAGAGGAAGTGACCAGAGAGATGAATGTGCACACAAGTCCCACCACATCTGGTCTACTGATCATGTCCACCCCATCACCGGTCTTGGGCCTCTCCTGTGTGGCCAGTATTCCATGGTTATCTGCCTGGGATGAAGCCAAGCTTCTGCCCTTCCTCCTCAGCCTCTGCCATCCAGGCTTCCTGGCAACCTTATGGGGATGGTTTCTCTTCTCTCTCTCCTCTCTCTCTCTTCTTTCTCTCTCTCCCTCTCCCTCTCCCCCTCCCCCTCCTCTCTCTCTCCTCTCTCTCTCTCTCTCTCTCTCTCTCTCTCTCTCTCTCTCTCCAGTCTGCACAGGGCCAGCTCACCAGGGGTCTCTGGGGTACAGCCTCAAGCCAGCAGTCGCTCCCTCTGGGTAGCTGCTCTGGAGGGCAGGCCAGCCCACCTCATCTGCTTGTCCCCAGCACTCAGTGGCACTCAGAGGACACCAACCATGTTCCTTGCTCCTTCATCAAACTCTAGACCAGCCCTCAATCTTTGCCTCAGTCTTTGGCCTCTGCCCACCCACACTCTCTTGTTTTAGCCTTGCTTAGCCCAGTTCTAATACAAATCCTGCAGGTCAATTCACCAAGAATCCTTCCCTCTTAGTGTCTGGCCTCCTCGATGCTCAATGAACTCTGGTCTCTCAAGGGTCTGCATCCTTGATGCTTGTACCTGATGCTTGTGCCTATTAGCTATAACTGTCAACTTGACACAACCAGGGAGGAGGAAGTGCCTAGGTCAGGTCGGCCGCGACATGTCTGTGTGGGGATTGTCTCAATGGCTGATGGATGCAGGAAAACCCAGCCCATGGTAGGTGGTGCCATTCCCCATCTGAGTCTTTGGACTGTAGAAAAGACTAGCTGAGCATTATCAGTTTGCTTCTGCTTTTGATCACAGTGTGACCAGCTGCAAGTTCCTGCCTTGACTTTCCTGTGATGTTGGACTGTAACCTGGAATTCTAAGCCACACAAACCCTTTCCTCTTCTACATTGCTTTCAGTCAGGGTGTTTTGTCACAGCAACAGAGATGAAAGTAGGACTTAGGAGTTTGCATTTTCCTCCTTAAAGAGAGTGAGGAGTCTAGAACATGTGACCGGGAGGCAGCACATGACACCTGATGGGCCTCTGTGGCAAAAGGATCATTCTGAGCTAGGTACTTGGGGACATGGAAAACTCAGGAACACTATGACAACAGAGAGGCAGTCATTGCAGGGGAAATTCACATCTCTACAGGGATCTCCATGTGCGAGGCTATGCCCTCATCTGGCAGAAGGGGAGGCTGCGTCACGAGACACACGCTCACATTCTTTCTGCCCTTTTCTCCTTGCCTGCCTTCTGTCCCAGAGGTCACCACTAAGGGCTCTGAAGGGTAAAGAGAAAACTATCTTTCCTTCCCTACAAGAGCCACTGGCTCCACTCTCTGCTTTCAACCAACAGGAAAGGAATCAGAGGTCAATGAATGCTACCATCAGAATTAATGGTAAACAGGAGATGCTCTGTACCTGAAAGGGTTAATCCAGGAGGAGCCAGACAGTTGGCTGTGTGGCCTGCCATAGTTTTCAGCCCCAGTGACCCAGAGGACTCCCCTCTTTTACTGCATTATAATGTTCAAAAAGAGTTTCAGAGGCTATGATTTTTAAACCAAGCTCTTGCACCAGGTCCTGACAAAATACCTTAGCCAAAACGAATCACTCCCAATAGGTTTCTACGTTGAGACAGGACTGGAGTGGGAAAGTCATGCCAACCCAAGAGGCCTGTTAGGTCAGCAAGTCCTACGTGCTCTCAGCCTTACTCTTCCCTAGAAGCAGTCTGTAAGACCTGGCGCTAACCAGTCAGCCACTGTCCCGATGCAGTCTCCTAGTTCTGCCCCACAGTAACCTGGCAACACCATCTTGCCTGGTCTATACCATGAGGGTCTCTGCTCGGCTGTGGGATGTCCATTCTACTTCAGATCCATGTCTCCTGATTCTAGAGTGGGACCTAAAACCACGAAGGTGACTAAGCTGGGTTATTTTTACTTTTTTCTTCTTTTTTTTTTTTTGGTCTTTTTGAAGCAGGGTCTCCCTGTAGCCCCAGCTGTCCTGGAACTCACTATGTAGACCAGGCTGGCCTTGAACTCACAGAGATCCGCCTGCCTCTGCCTCCCAAGTGCTGGGATTAAAGGCGTGCGCCACCACGCCCAGCTTTACTTTTTTCTTTTACACTATTACTATACTTTATTTTATATTATTATTGCATATGTTACAGTGCTCATGTGATTGTCGGAGGACAACTTTATGAAGACAGTTCTCTCCTACTCTTATGTGGATTCCGGGGATTGAACTCGGGTTGTTAGGCTTGTATGACGAGCATCTTTGCCCACTCAGCCATCTCACCAGTCCTCTTAATATGACTTTTAATGCCGAGCGAGTCAGGGTTCCAGTGAGCTGCCTTTGAAGGCTGACTCATTTCTTCCAATCCCCCCTTTGCCAGTGTGCTCCCCCTTTCTACAAGCTGCCTCCCCCCTTTGCTTCGGGAAGGAAGCCTGGGCTCACTGCAGTGCGACAGGGGTGCCAGAAGCAGGGTCTCGGGTGGGACACAACTGAAACTCTGCAAGTCCCTGAGTGGGGACGAGGCCTGAGGGGCAATGGACATGCAGCCATGCTGGGTCGGCTTTTCTGGTGGGATCACCCGGCCGGCTCCTCGGGTGCCTGATCCCCCTCCTCATCTCACTCTTCAGGTTCACTGACACCCTCAACGGAGATGCAGCTGAGCAGGCTCTGCCTGTGCGTGGGTGACAGCGCTGGCTTACCAGCGGCGCTGTGACAAAGCTCACTCCCAGGTGGTGTGTGGAAGGCACATGTGGGTTCTTGCCACAGGATGAAGCAGTGTATCCGGATGCTTACCTTGCAAGTACATCTCCTCGCCCTCCGCAAACATCTGGCCGCACCTGACGCATATCGCGCAGGAAGGGTGGTAATGCTTCTCCCCGGCCTGCACAAAGCACAAAGCAGGTGTCTTGCTGTGGCAGCAGGATTCCCACAAGGCCACAGCACACAGGGTGGGCATCTGTGCCCTGCATTCACATCCAGGGGAGGCTGGGTGGTAAACACATCAAAGGCCTGGCAACCAGTAGGACCAAAGACCTGCACAAGTTCAGCAGGGCAGCCAAGGGCCTTGTGAACACTGGGCAGACCTAGCTATGCCTGCTCTACCCCTGACCTCCAGGGACCATGTGTGCAGGCCCCCAGGCTGTGGACAGGTCACTATCAAAGGGGAAACAGGTCTCCTCATTTCTGCATGTCCTGGAGGAGGGAGAAGGGCAGGAGAACGGAGCGATGAAGAGATGCCATCATCTCCCCAGTGATGGAGGGGGTGTGTGTGATGTAGCTCTGCATTCCTCAGTTTTCTCAATAGAAAGTCTTAAAAGCTATTATATTAGATCACAAATTTTAACACTGAAACAACCTAAACAGGTTTAGCTTACTTCCCCATGGTGCCAAAAAAAAAAGTCCTAAAATCCTGTTTCCAGTACTCCTCAAGAGCAAACTTTGCTCCCTGGGGCGGGGCAGGGCAGGGCGAGCCAGGCCTGACACTGAGAGTGAAGGACAATCACATCCTAAAGTGGGAGGAAGCTCCCCAACCTGAAGCAGAATCGGCTCTTCCCTGAATAGGGGAGGGGGAGGTTACAAGCACCTCACCTCGTGTCCTTCCTCTGCTTATGTCATCCCCTGGAAAAAGTAGGTCAAGGCCCAGGATATAGGGAGGAAGAATCTAGAATCTAGATCCTCTCCTGTGAGGGCCTTGATAGACTGCTCTGCCACCTTCTAGCCATCGACTCAGCCTGCACCCCTGCTTACAGCTTGGGCAAAGAATTCTCCAAGCAGAGAGAAGAGATGCCATCTGACCCAGCCCTGGCCTTTGTTCATGTCAACCCTGCCACTTGGGTGCCCTCTTTACCTCCCAGTTCTACCCTGAGTAGCCTTGTGTCTTCCCAAAGCCAGCTCCTTCTGGGGGCGTCCCTGATGGATGCCTCCCTAATCTCAGCCTTCTGGCCCACGTCTCACTGCTTGGCAGTGTCTGGGCTTCTCCCCTTCACACACTGCAGGGACAGGTGCCTGGGTCCTTCCCGGGACTTTTGGAGGCAGTGGCCACCCTGTGAAGCAAGACAAGCCCTGTTAGCACAGAGGTGGTCAGTCCGAAGCCCATGTAGTTCTGGTTGTGGTGGTGGCTTGGGGGGCAATGGCAGTTTGGGTCATGGAGGAAGCATCAGTGGTCGTGGTGGTGTTGGTAGATATGGTGGCAGTGGGGGTGGCGCTGATGGATTTGGTGATGGTGGTGGCTATGAGGGAAGCAGCCTGGTTACTCTGAAGCAGGACAAGTCTCTGGTGGTGGTGATCAGGGCTATGAACGTCGGGCAGCAGCCATGGTGGGCGTGGCCACGATGACAGCTCTAACAGTGGGGGAGGTGGCAATGTATTTGGCCATGGTAGTAGAAACAACCACGGAGGTGGTAAAATCTATGGTGATGTTGGAGATCACAACTGATCTTCAAAGTCTGGACCCATGAAGGGAGGAAACTTTGGAGGCAGAAGCTCTGGCTGTGGTAGAGGCTAAGACTCTGCCACACCAGGAAACCAAGGCAGCTACAGTGGCCCCCAGCAGCTACGGCAGGGCAGAAGGTTCTAATTACTTTCAGGAAACAAAGCATCCTGGGAGAGGGGCATCAAAGACGTAACAGGATACAGGTTATATCAGACACGTGCAGACTCAGCCAAGCACAGCAGAACAGGGCCTGGCTGCCACGAAGGTGTTTTCTAGATAAACTCATGTTTTGGGGTGAGAAAGCTTGAAGACTATTTGTGGCTATACAACAGGTTATTTTAATTTTCATTCTCTGATAACTATAAAGCATTTCATCCAGGGCTTTTTGTTTTGAGGAACTTTTAGAGAGTGGTTTAAGAGTGGTTTTAGAGGGTGGTTTAAGACCGTGTCTCACTATGTAGCCCTGACTGACTTAGAACTTGCTATGTAGATCAGACTAGCTTTGAACTCACAGAGATCTGCCTGCCTCTGCCTCCAAAGTGCTGGGATTAAAGGTGTGCGCCATCACACCCAGCCCCAACAAAGGGTTTTAATGTAGAACTTTTTCTCACCCATGCAGTTGATGACTAAATCTAATAATCTGATCATGACACTGAATAAATATCTTTTAAAAAATAAAATGGGGGGTAGAGCGATGTCTCAGCAGTTAAGAGCACTGGCCACTCTTGCAGAGAACCAGGGTTCAAGTCTCAGCACCCACATGGCAGCTAACAATTGTCCATAGCACCAATTCAAGGGGATCTGATGCCCTCTTCTGACTTCCATGGGCATTGCACAACACAGATGCATTTACACACACACAGGTATTACACTCATACACATAAAGTAATAATAATAAAAATAAATAAAATATTAAAAAAAATAAAATGGGCTATAAAGATGGCTCAGTGGTTAGGAGTTAGGAGTGGCTCAGTGCTGAGGAGCTGAGTTCAAAGCCCAGCACCTGTGTAACAAGCAGGGCATGGTCTCAAGTGCAACTGTAACCGTGACACTGTGGGGACACAGACAGAATTGCTGGAGCTTATTGACTTCCAGCCTAGACGGTGAACACAATATCCAGATTTAGGGAGAGATTCTGCCTCAAAGGAATAAGGTAGACTGCGATGGGGAGAGCACTCAACCTTCTCCTCTGACCTCTGCACACACACACAGGTGCACACACCCATGTCCATATCTGTGTACACCACACACACACACACACACACACACACACGACAGAAAAAAAATAGAAAAATGAGCAGAAACTAGAATAGACATTTCACCAAAGAAGCTATTCAAATAACAAGCAGTTCTCAGAAAGATGTTCTGTGTCACGTGTCACTGTCATAAGAATATGCCCTCCGAGAACACGGTGTTTCATACTCACTGGGACACCTGAGAGAGTAACAAAACAACCAAAGCATGGGGCAGCCTGTGCTAAGCTGCTGTTTCCTCAGACAAACATCGATTCATCATACAAACCAGAAATCTACACCTTCGTGTCTAAGAAAGATGAAGAGAAACCCAAAAAATGGAACCACATTTCTAAACAAAGACTCCTCATCCAAGTTCACAGTGGCTTGACACACCCTAGCCAGTTTTCCAGTTTTCCAGCAGTTCACATGTGCACCACGGAGGAGGGAGTTGGCGCCATCCAGTGGGTGCTGCACAGCTGTCAAGAGGAAGACGTGCCCACACGTGCCATAGCGTGGATGGCCGACAAACACTAAATGCTGAAGGGAGAGGACCCAGCCACTCAAGGCCAGCAGCATGACTCCCAGAAACATCCAGAACAGTCAAAGCCACAGAGGCAGTCAGGGGCTGGGAGAAGGGAATGAGGGAATGACCCTGTGTGGGTGTGCAGTTCCTTTTGGGGTAACTAAAGAAAGGTTTGGATGTACTGTGAACATTGTCTACTGGCAAGTTAGATGCCCAGAGTTGTGCATTTTGTGCGCTTTCAGTGGTTGGGCTCCATCTGAGGCTAGGAGAGGTCAGTCCCTGATGCTCTTGTCACCAACAGCCACGCGCCAAGTACGGCATCAAAAGCTTTAAGTACATTCATGTCCATTCTCTGTTTGTACACTGTCCTCCACATCCACTGCTCAAATGAAGAACCTGAGGCTTAGGGAAGCCAGGAGATTCACCCACGGCCCTAGTTCCAGGAGGGTGGAGCCAGGACCCCAGCCAGGCAGGCAGATGCCACCTGGACTAGAGACTGCCCCCTGGAAAGCACCTGCGACCTTAAGGACACACAGGTTGGCTGTGGCTGATCCCTCACTGCTTTTGTGGTCAGTTCTCCTAAACCAGGGCATAGGGACATGGGAATCACAGAGGGGTTTCAGGGGTCACAGAGCACCTACTCTGTTGGGTGGCTTCCCATAACATCATGGCGGAGCACTACAGTCAGAGTCACAGATGAGCCAGTGCCCCTAGAAACCTCCTGACCACACGGTCTTGACTGCATGTGAGTGAGCACCCGAGACCTCGGAGCCAGGAGAGACAAGCGATCTCACTCTTGCTGGGGCCCACACATCTGCAAAGTGTAACAGACAACAGCTGAGCCACATTTCAAGGATACTCCATGTTCTAGAGCAATCCATCTGTAATGAGATATAAGGGCCTATGTCTCAGGTATCATGGGAGACATCATGGGGCTACAGAGGGAATGAGCCTTCACGTGGGCAGGCCTACCCCAGGTCACAGTCAAGGCAAGGGTGATGATTCCTGCCTGGGACCCTCATTTCCTGTGCATGATCTGGGTCTCATGGCCTGTCTTGGGGTTCAGAGTCCCTGACTATAAATTAAAGAGGGTCCCTCCATTCAGGATGGACTAGGACAATAAGGCTCTCTGACTCCTGGGGGTGCTTGGTTATGTCAAATGCCACCCTGTCATCATCCCATCCACTCTGGGGCAAGAGAGGGAACACGGGAGGCCAGTTAGGGTAACAGGGATCATAGCTAAATATCTTCACTGCTCTGTCCCATCCATGGCCACTGCATCTCCCTCACAGTGAGGGTTTGTTCCAGTCATCACCCACACATAGTCCCCCACACCCCCAGGAAGACCTAAACCATCAGGAGTCAGTGGTTTCAACGCTGAACATCTGAGCTGCCACCCCCAACTCCCAGGCAGGCGGATGGCCCAGCCCCTTGCCTGTGTGGAGCTCAGGATGGCTCAGATTTGAACACTACAATGTGAGCCCAAGAGATTTTGCTGTGTGTGATTTTAGAAAAATACCTTATGCCTTCCAACAAGCAACTGTCATGTTGAGTGAGACAGGCCAAGACTGGCAATGGAGGTGTGAGCAGCCTGCAAGGGTGTGGAACCCCTACAGCTAAGCAGGGTCAGGACAGACTGCAGGGCTCCGAGGACAGCCCTACAGTGGCCCTGCAGAGAAGTCCAGTGGCCT